CAAATAGTGTCAAGTAATATGGTTTTACTACTTAAAATTTTTGTAATAGCCTTAAAATATATTTCACTTTTTATTATAAAATTTAAAACTTTAAAATAATGTGTATCGAGCAGATCATGAAAACTTGAAAATCTTGAAAATTGACGATAAAAAAATGCATTACAAGATGCTCTATTTCCAAAACTTGAAATCCATTTTTTTCTCATGTCCATGCATCTTGATGTCAAGATGATCAATTTGATGATATTTGGACATCAATGCATCCTCTACGCGTGAAGTTTTTGAGGTAGACTCTAATTTGATTGTTTACATGCTAAGATATATATATATATATATATATATAATGGGATAAAACTTAAATTAAGATCGTGATGGCCATGTACATGGCATTTACCAATTGTCATTTACGATCCTTGCTAGGATAATATTTCTTAGGATGATTTTTAACTTGTGTCCTATTTCCTTGTTTTTGGTGTTAATATCAGAAAGTGACAAGCTATCTCAATGATTGTGCACATATCTTGCGCAACTTGCGCATTCCTTAATATACAACAAGGCGAAGTGCTTCAATATGCAAAATTCCCATTTTGCCACCAAAGGAGGGAATGGCCTTTTCTTCCTCGAACAGGCATGATGAAATTCTTAGCTTTCACACAGATGGGAAGTGGTGAATAGTAAGTGAAATTCCACACAACAATCTTTTATGAGATGAGAACCTTGTGTTCATATACAGCATCCATTGGATTCATCGGGCAAATTCGAAACAAGTGGAAACACAAATATAAGGATCGGATAGAGATTATATATCTTTTCGTGATCTTTTTTGTTTTTTTCCTTGCGGTTTGTGCTACTCATTCTCCTCCCTTTGCCGTCAGTTTCTCCTCGCCGAGTGTTCGAAGCCCACAACCTTAGGTTAAAATTTATTTATGAGAATTAAAAGTATAACATGTGCAGTGCCAAATCGAGCTTTTGATGGACGGGCCAAGAATTATTGAGTCGCATGTTTTGTTTTTTGTTTTTTATTCCTTAGAGATAAAACAAGGTTGAGAGAGAAGGGAGCTTTAAGTGTACAGAGAGAAACTCCTTTCGGGACATGTGACTCTCAATTTTCCTCCCATATGATGAATATTGTTTCTCTCTTCTAACTCATTCGTATAAGAATGTCCCATGAGGAAAACTTATCCAAAAAATGATTAATCTCTCTTATTTTAGATAATATTTACTACAACACCCTTTATCACCATTTGGAAATTTATATCACGTAGGATTCCCTTTTCTTCTCTCTACCATGAACAGATCCAATTATACCATAGATGTTCTTCTACGAAATGACGAAGATTGTTGAAAATTGTAAGGAGATCAGCACACCAATAAGTGGTAAACTCTAAATTCGACAGCGCACACTCATTCAAAAGTGGTTTATGTCAATCTCAATTATCATTTTCTGGTGATACATTACAGTAAAAGAAATCTCTCATAATTTATCAAAAAATGTGCCACGAGACATTAATGAGCAGTGCATCCTTGCAAAGATAACCACACTATATCTCCATCAACTTGACGAGGAACAACTTTCTCTTTTTAAAAAAATGCACCAGCTAAGCCTAGACTGCATTTGGTCGTACCCAATTGACTATCTCAACTAATCCTTATAAATTTTCTATGCTCAAGAGAACTACTAAACCCCTACGTGTACAGATACGTAACTCATCCAATAAAATATTGTTCTTATGAAAGCCAAGAATTTTTTTTTGAATAATACACATTATATTATACCATCGTTTTTTTTAGAAACATTTTTACAGAAGCACAATCTCAGTAAAACCTTTATATCGATGTGCATCTGATGAGGATCATGGTGTGTAATGAGTTTCAAGGTACCATCTATAATATCATGCCAATGGTCTTCCATCGGCCACCTATTATTCTATTTTGACATGACTGCTTTGCTTGCTTAGGCTCCAACCTACCGAATTATACATGACCATGGGGTTGACATGCTAAACAACATCAAACCTCGACTTTCTAATATAGTCTCAGCTTGTATAAGGGCATTTTTGGTCACATAACTGGCTATTTCTTTTACAACATAGTAAGAAACATGGATCATCCTATACACCTTTTTGTAAAATAATGATAGTCCTCCTAAGCAATAGGGTATGAGTCTCACATCATGGTATAAATGATAAACAATATTCGGATCTTTACACTATGCAGGTCTTCGTTTTGTCACAAGTATGAATCTTGTCACAAACAATGCTTCTAAGATTTCACCCAAGCTACTAGGCTGAAAATCTGTGATGCTCATGCCTAACTATCATATAGGCTACATGATTTGGTGGGGCACCATATAAATCATGTTGATTTTCAAACATAAAATCTCATCTTTATCATTTTTTGAGGAAATACTCACATATCTTTGTTGTACATCATTTTTGATGTACTTTTATCCCTGAGTCATATAAGGAGAGAGTCATTAATAACCTGGTCCTACCGATACTCAAGACACCGCTAGACCAGGGCAACACTGCCAGATAAGCCTAAAACTGGGCAACCTCTGAAAATGTACTGGAACGGCTTTAAAAAGCATGAAAATGGTAGTTTGAGATGCTCAAAAGACGCTCATAAAGTATCGTCGATTTCCAATAAGTTTTGATATGATCAGGACAAAACTTTGTTCTCAACTCTAGTTCTTTTCATGCTGAAAATGGACCTTATAACTACAACCCTATTTTTTGGGCCTCAAAACAGTAGCAAACTACTATCTTTAGATCCGGAGCGTCGGAAAACCCCCAGGGACCAAATTTGGGCTCAATCGGATCTTCCAAGACAATTCTGGGCTCAAATTACCATAAAAGGGTGGGTTTTACACTATTTCGATGTAGACTCGGTGAACTAGTTTCCATTTATGGAAACTATGTTTTCACCTCTCGGGATGATTTTCAAATACTCATAACTTGCTCGTTTAGAATCGGAAGAATCTCAAATTCTGGAAAAGTTAGGTTTCAATGACCCAGTCATTTTGATTTGTGGCTTGAGACGAGAACTTTTCTAGAGAGAAGATAAGTCCAAAACCATAAAATCATAATTTTAAAAGAAGACATCCCATACTTCGCAAAGCAATAACTCAAGATCTGTAAGTCGGATCGACACAAAATCAGGTCCGTTCCGACTGCATCGCGAAGGGCTAAGAGTTTGGTGTAGCTTTTATGTTCAGTTAAAGGATGGATAGTACTAATTTCAAGGTTGAATATGGAAAGAGTTTCCCGATCACCAGAATCCCATTTTCCGGTTACTTCCCGAATTTGGAAATTGTTCAAACGAAAACCAAATAGGATGAAATTTGGTGCAAAATGACCGTGACAATATCTACTTTAATTTGTGATCAAAATAAGGGCTTGAAACATCGTAGATCGCACCAGATTGATGGTCGAATTTTATGGATTTGGCTAAATTTTTGCCCCTTCATGAAAAATCCATTTTAAGACGATCAATGAGCATCAAAATGTTCATGATAGATCAAACATCGATTCTACGACGATCGATCACC